ATTGGACATCTACAGAAGATTAAAAATATAAACCTTATTCATGGAAGTGAATAAAAAATAGACTCATCAGCTTATAAAATCTATTGATTGGTTTTCAACATTTGCCATCTACCTATGAAGAAAGCAAGAAAGACTTCATCATTCTTATACAACTCCAACAAATAAAGAAAACAAATCTAGGTGACTCAGTGCCTTGGGAGGTGGATGTGGAAGAGGAGCACAGGGAAGGGCAGGAAGATGAATAACCTCTTAGAATTAGAAGAGGCCAGCGATGTCTGAAGCTGATGGAAACAGTAATAAATACATCTACCTCATAGGAAGTGACAGAGGTGCGCAAGAAAAAAGTAAAGGTGACTTAAAAGTCAAGGTTTTAAAAATAAAGAAATTTTTCAATGTGAAAAGTCTGAAGTTGCTGCAAACATGAATAAGACCATGAAAGTATTTAGAACTACAAAGGCAGCCATTTGGGGAGTGAACCAACGGAAGGAAGACCTTTCTCTCTCTCTCTCTCTCTCTCTCTCTCTGACTATCTCTGCCTGTCAAAAAAAAAAAAAAGGAAAAAAGAACTTAGCAATCCTTAAAATTGTTCCTTTTAGTGTGTGGGACTTGGTCAAGGGGAGCAGAGTTTGGAATTAAAAAAAAAAAAAAAAACACTATTATTCTAAGCTGTTCTATGCAATTTGCTTCCTTGTCTTGTGTGTGTGTGTGTGTGTGTGTTACTTTGAGTTTTAAGACCATTGTGTATCTTTCATGTGGCAAACACTATGTTTAATACCAGGCACTTAGGGATGGTACCAGCCTTATGGCAGAAGCATCTACAGACACAATTGCTGCTGGGAGGAGCGCTTTCTAGAGACGCACTTGTGTACAGTGGGAAGAGGTGGCAGTGCAGCCAATCACAGTATACTGCTTGGCAGGAAAGTTCACCGAGTATTTGGACAGTTGATTGGAACTGTTGGTGCTGAACCCTCAGAGAGGTGAATTAGGAGAAGCGTTTAGGACTTGGGGGCTTGGAGACTTGACTTGAGTCCCTCAGATGATAATATTCTAGGCAGGCAGATAGAATTACTGAGAGTTTGAAACTGTAAGAATCCTTAGAGAGTCTGTATCCAATCCTTTCATTTTTTAAACAAAGGAGGTTTGGAGTGGCAAAGCTAGAGCTCAAATTCAGTCCCTCTGATTCCAAGTTTAACGCCAGATCAAAGGAGTTGCCGTCTAAGATACCCCTCAAAGCCAGCAACTGACATTTATCAGATACCTGCTATGGGCTAGGCACTGTCCTGGCCAGTTCTCTAATTGCATCCTCACAACAGCCATATGAGATTGGTTATACCCATTTTGAATTTGATTATGAGTTTAAATAATTTGTCTAAGGCTCACAACTGAAAGAAATCAGAGCCTGGATATGGAAGAGGCTGTCTGACCTCTAGGTTCATGACCCTCAGTCTCTGGCTCGGAATTAGAGCCCCAGGGGTCGAGATGAGAGCATCACATCCCTATACTGGTGAGCAGAGGTAAAAATAAAAACCATTATGTGTGTAATAATTGAACATACCAACACTCTCCGATTGTAAGGGAAGTATGATCCTGGCATTGGATCCACAGGGCTCTTTGATCTGCTTCTCCACTGCTCCCCTGTGGCCACGCTGGGTGAAGGTCTGTGTGCTGTGTGCCAGGCCATCTTCTTAATTAGAACGGACCCCAGGAGCCTTCACATAGCCCCAAGCCAATCCGGACAAAATAAACAGGAAACGGAAACGAAGGAGAGGAGCGATAGTTTCTCACTGACTTTAAAAGATTTATACTGACAATATCCCAAGGAGCTTATGAAATGTATTCCCTCCCCCTTTTTCTGGTAAGGGAAAGCTGCTGATGAAGAGATAGCTCTCAACCATAGAGTTTCATTGAGAGTGAAAATACTTTAAGCTCAGTTTCTTATTGATAGTCCAGTTGCACAAAATAAAATTCATATAAACATCATCTCACATATTAGAACTGGAAAAATAATCCATCTTCTAGTCAGCTTTGAAAGGGTCCCATTATTGAGGTACTGAATTATGGAAACAGAATTTACAGGCACATCCGTATCTGGGAAGAAGAGGGGAGTGGGAAGAGTACCCAGCTCCCTCACTCCAACACCTTCCACTTGATTTGAGGTTCCTGCGTGTGCACACACAGGCATAGCATCTTTTGCAGAGGAAAAGGGGCTTCTTCTTCATTTGGCCTGTGTTCTTTACTTCAGTCACTCAAAAAATGGCTGCTGGTTTCAATCCAACTTTCTACCAACTAGAAAATATCATAGAAAGATCTCAGACCAGGGCATAGTTGCTCTTTCCTGAGTATAAATTATGGGCTTGGCTTCATACTAACCTCAGACCATACTCTCAGCTTCTGGAGCAAGACTCTGCCCCCAGAGATACTTTCTGGACTCTCACCTGCCCTGGACAGACACACACTAACCAACTGGAAAGCCCAGTCATTCCCAGGCCATCTCCTGACACAGTGCCATTGCTTACAATAGTAAGTCAACACCTCAGCTCTGCATTTAGTCACAGCCTTGCCCTAGTGCAGACTAATGGTGCACAGTGAGGTTGAGTCAATTTTGGTCCCCCATTCTCCCTGCTTTATCAGATCAGTCCTGAAGCACCACCTTGATGTTGTCACTGTCCTGTTCAAAGTATTTGGCTCCTGTTATCCACACAATGAAGTTGGAAGCTGCAGCAGGAATGAAGCACTCTCTGTGCTGGTCCTAACACCTACCAGCCTTCCTTATTTCCCAGTCTTCTCTCCATGTATTGCACTCTGTAGGCAAACTCTTTTTTTCTGTTAGTTTATTTTCATTCTATTTGATAGGCAGAGAGACAGCCAGAGACAAGTCTTCCATCTGTTGGTTTACTTCCCAGATGCCCACAACAGCCGGGTTAGGTCAGGCCAAAGCCAGGAGCCTGAAATTTAATCCAGGTCTCCCACATGGGTGGCAGGGTCCCAAGTACTGAAGCCATTATTTGCTGCCTCCCAGAATGCACATTAGTAGGAAGCTGGACTACGAGCAGAGTTGTTGGGATTTGAACCAGGCTTTGCAATACAGGATGGCCCCAAGCAGTTACTTAACTGCTATTGCCAAACACCTACCCCCATGCAGCCAAAGATCTTCTTTCTTCCTCTTTTCTTCAACTTTCACCTCGCTGGCTCTGTCAATGTCTGTTTTTTTTTTTTTTTTCTCCCTTTAAGATCTAGCTCAAAGATCTTCTCTGTGAATCTATGTACCTAGACCTAATTTCTCCTGAGGCCCTCCAAAGTGTGTTACCTGATATGTTTGATTACAGATATCTCTTCTCCCCTATTGGCCTGGGATCTCCCCTTGAAAGGCAGGATCTGTGTTGGGTTCATGGTTGTGTCTCAAGGGCAGGGCCTGTCAAAGTAGGTATCTAACAAATGTATTTGAGAGCAGAAAGGAATAAGGAAGGGAGTGAATAAATGCATTGGATCCAGTGCCCATGCATCTCGCTTCCTCCCTCTCTGCCCTCCCTGAGTTCCTGAGCTATACAGCGTGACCATGAGGTACCTTAACCATATTTTAGGTTAGTGGACACAGTAGGCTAATGAGAAAAAGAAAGAAAAAAGAAAAGAGCACTGTTTAGGAATCCAGAGACCTGGAGTCTGATGGTGACTTTCAAACTCGGACTTTTAATTAGTCATTTCCCATCTCTAGAATAAAGTCAGGGCTGAAAAGTGAGGGATTGTGTTAGATGATCTTTCCCATTCTGAGCCTTTGGATACGATCCCTCTCCTTTTCCCTGTGCCTACGACAAGGGCACTATCACCCCCTACTGTAAAACAGGGTGATAATGTGATGGAGGGTTGTAGAGCGCTTTTCAAGGCCATAGGCCATACTGAAACCCCCCAACAAGTACAGGGGTTCAATTTCTAGAACTGCTCCTATGTCCCTAATCCAGCTCAGAAAGAGTCCTGCGCTCACTCCATCTTGATTTTAATGGGAAATCCTTTTATCTATTTTCGGAGTGTTGCAGAGCTCCAGTTTCTGGTGTAATACCTTCTCCTTGGAGAATGCTTTGCTTCTAGTAGGAATCCCTCACTTTCATCTGCATCATTCTTTATTGCAGGCTGCCAGTTAATTCCCCTATTTGGTAAATTGGGTTGTCTGTGTCAGGAGACCTTTTAAGTGCCGGGTGGGGGTGGTTTAAGAAGGCTGAGCACTCAGAAACTGATTCCCACTGAGGACATTGGGATCTTGTTGGGATAGCCGCACAGTGCAAAAGGAGCAATACATAATGGTTCAAAAGTTCGATGTAGAAGAGCAGCAAGTAAAATGAATGCATGGCAGGGAGTGCTTGGAACAACGAAATGGTGCTGATGGTAATGTCTGGGAATATTGGATTCTTGCAGGTCATTTGACCTGTGCTTCTGGAATCAGAGTCAACTTGTCCCAGAGGGAAACTTCCACAAGCATGGCACTCAGGAGGATTTGTAGGATTTTCTTCGTGGAGACTGGTTGTAAATTCACCCGACCCATAGATTCATGATCTCAGATACATCTTTGGAGATTATCAAGTTCAGCCAGCCCCTCTCACCCTATTTTATAAATGAAGATGCTTAAACCTAGGAAAGTTAGTGCTTTGCCAGCAAGCACTCAACTAGTAAGCAAAGGAGCAGGAGTCCTTTGAAAGATATTTTTATTACTGTTTCTCAGATGAAAAACATGAGGGACCTAGAGCTAGTAAATAGGAGAACCACGATTAGGGCCTTGGTCTGCCAGTTTATCGAGCCCATGTTCCCAGTCACAGTACACCTGCATCAGGTCACACTACAAAGAAAACTTGCCAGGGAAGGAAGAGGACTGGGTGTGAGCAAAGAAGTGGAGAAGGGCCTGCACGCATTCCCTGGCTTGGTTGCTGTTTGTTCTCTAAGTCCTGTCACAGAGCTGCCACTGCTCCCTCTGCCTGGACACACCTGCAGGATCACTTTTCCTGTCTTTCCAGGCTCTTTCCTCCTCCTCAACACCTCAGCAGACTCCAAACACACCATCCTGAGCCCGTGGATGAGGAGCAGCAGTGAGCACTGCACGCTGGCCGTCTCGGTGCACAGGCACCTGCAGCCCTCTGGGAGGTATGTGGCCCAGCTGCTGCCCCACAACAAGACTGGAAGAGAGATCCTCCTGGTGCCCACTCCAGGAAAGCATGGGTAAGTCCTTCCCATGTCTCAAATTAATTTTATAAAAGATGGCTGCTTGGTTTTTGGCTGTGGATTTCCAGGGTCGGTGATATCTACTTAAAATTCACAATTACCCTTTAGTGGATGCACACAGACTTAGCTGTTGCTGTTACCATTTGCCAGGAAGCATCTCAGGCATTGGCCGGTGGGTCCCTCTGACTGTCCTGGCTGTGGTCCTCCCAGCAACCAGAGGACTAGCTTTCAGAATGGCTATTTCATGGATGGACATTAAAGATACCCATTTTCCAAAGGCCAGGTAGAGCTGAGAACAAAACAGCCAAAAGGAGTATTCAAAGAACAAGATTAAAATAATTTAGTATGTTGCAAACTGGGTTTTACTAGCAGAATGTGGGCAGGAAGGAAAGGACAAAACATTGTGGCTCCTAAGCAGGTTGTACAAGAGGGTGATATCGCAGGGCAGAATTAATCAAGGGTGCTAGACCACTCTCAGCTCAGTAGAGACTGGAACAGAGCTTTGTCCTGGAACCTCCAAGGCATACGCAACACTGAAGTCACACTCAGTACTGTCAATGATGAAATCCCTCAAGCTTTCTGGAGTCACTCACTCAGTGGTTCCTTGGGTCTCTAGAGACAGTGACATTGGGAAGCAACCTTGAACTACAGCATCTCTGATTCTGCCTTTTTTCCCCATTCCATCAGTAAAAACACCATCACAAGCAAGACCCCAGCATTGAGGGGCCCCAGATCCGATCACTTTATAATCAGTGACGGTGTAGGACCCTTCTTGTTGACATCTTTACAGAAGTAAGACCAAGCACTTTTAGCTTGGTTTAGACTTGACTTCCTCCTAAGACAATACCTTTTCAGAGGATTCCCACCTGAACGATGACTATTACCTAGCAGTCATGGTGTGCCGAGGGACAGCTTGCCTATAGGTTTTCCAGTAAGGCCATTTCCAGGAAGGCTCTGCACTGTCTTCTCCTGACCCATCTGTATTTAGCTGTGCTTGGAAGAACTGTAAGCTGCTGCAGTCCCAGCAGGAGTGAAATCGCAGTATCGAGAAGGATGCTGTCCCTGTACCTAAGCTCCATACCCATCTTCTTGCCTATTGAATACCTCTTGTGCTGGCTGGTAGGGACCCAGCCACCAGGTACCTCTTGGCTGTGTCCACCCAGAAATCAGGAGGGTTGAGTGGCTGGGCTGCCCCATGTTTTGGCTGAGTTGTCCTCTGGTGCCCAGCCTGCCTCCAGCACGACCCCCCCTCCCCGGCCTTTCGTGGGAGAAGTCCAGCTGGTAAGGCCTTCTTCCAGGGGTTGGCCTCAGCTGTGGAACCACCATGCAGGCATTTGCCCAGCCTTATTATGTGTTTATTCTGAATTATACTCTCAAGTGTTCCCTCTCTGCCCAGCCTGGATGGAACCGAATAGTGCTGCTTGGGGCTGCAGAGCCTCAGGCCATCGGTCCCTGGGTAAGGAAATTCATGGGTGACAGAGGAAGAAATGAAGTTGGAGATCACCCTGAAAGGCCGGCGAAGAATGTATATTTGTGAGATGAAAGGTATGCATGGGGTTTCAGCATCTCCTGCGTGGCCTGCCTGTTTCCCACTATAGTTAAGTCAGGGAGACAGTGCTGCGTTGGGATGACAAACCATAGGAGATTACGAAGGATTTACCCTTCTGTAACTTCCCATGCTCAGAACATCCAAGTGAATGTCCATTTGACAGATGAGAAGAGGAAAAAGGAATGTGGCATGGTAGAAACTGAACTCCAGTTCTCCCCTGCCCTTTCCTCATTTGTGTTCTTTCCAGGAAACCCAAAGCCCCTCAACAGGAACTCAGGGAAGAAGGAAAGGGAAGGCGAAAAAACCCTAAAAAACAGATGATTTAGATTCTTTGGTGACTTTGATGATAAGTGAGCCCAGAGACATGTGATGGTAGAGCCTCCAGGGGCAACCTACTCTCTGCCATGTGTGGTAGGAACAAGGAGACCAAGGCTGTGTGACGTGGGCAGGTTCTGAGCTTCTTGTTGAGGCCACCCCACTGGCCAATACATCCTCTTCCAAAAGCAAGTTCTCTTCAGTCTTAGGAGTTGGTCTGCCCTCTGCAGGGGGTGAGCTGAGACAGGAGAAAGAGAACAAGATTATGTTGGGTTGAGGTGGAGATTTGATGGCAGTGCCTGGGGCTGACCCTTATGGCTAGAGAGGCTTTGCCTCAGGCTCTGGCTCCTGGCTTTCCAGGGTAGCTAAATATTCTTCCCTGGTGCTGGCTAAGCCATCTTGAGTTTAGTGATGAGCAGGACTGATTCCAAACTTATATTAAAGATGTCTGGGACAGCTTCCCCACCTCCAACATGATCAATGTGGTGAGGGTGGAAGGTGGCAGCTGAAGGAGCAATCAATAGACCACTCTACTGCATCGAGGCACTGTGCTCCCCTGGGCATCTGGGAAAGCTTCGAGACACAAGGTACTTGCCCAGCAAATCAGGGAGCTCTGGGTATTTGTGTAGAGTTTGTTCAGGATTTCCATTATTGACATTGTGAGAAGAACAGTTTCTTTTTTTTTTTTTTTTTTTTTTTTTTTTTTTTGGCAGGGGGAGGGCAGGGGAGGGAGCTGTCCTGCACATCATCTCCAGCATTCTATGCCTCCACCCAACCAGATAGTAGTGGCATTTTCCCCAGTGAGACGATCAAAATTGCCAAATGTCTCATAGGGGGGAAAATCAATCCCACTGAGAACACCTGCGTTGCATGGAACATTTTACAGCTGGGAAGAACTACAGGATTTGGTTCAGCCTCCTAGGTTTACTGGTTTCGGAACTGAGGCCTGGGACTACCAGGTAGCAGGTCAGCACAAGTTTCATTTTTGGTAGGCCAGCAGCTGGAATGTTATGCTCAAGTGTATGTGCCAATCATAGTACTAGATCCTGGGTTTCAAAGACATCCCAGGCCCAGGCCCTACCCTTGAGCAATAGTAAGTATTGCTAGCATCTATTTAGCACTTTGCAGACACACTAGCCATCAATACTGTGTACCTTACATGCATTTTCATATTGAATACAACACAGTAAATTTGGTTCTTGTTATTAGCTCCAGTTCTACAGATGAGGAAACTCAATGAGATCAAATAATCTGCCTAGGGTCACAGTACAGGTGTTTTGAACCCACCCAACCAGACTTCAGACTATTTTTATCCATTACAGTAAGAGCTCAGTTAATTCACAGCAGAAAAAAAATATATATTCTGTGAATCAGAATCCCTGCATGTAAGTGCCAGTTCACTCTCCAGTTGCCAGTTCAATGAACCGTCGTTTGTTGAGTACTTTCTATTTTTTCAGACCATAGAGGTGCAGGGGACAGAAGGCTAGCCTCTCTACCAAAGGTGTTTCCTGAATGAGTTCTGTGGCTTTAGGCAAATCCCAGCCCTTCTCAAGACTCAGTTTCCCCATCTGTACAGTGGGATTGTGATGCTGGCTTGTTCACGTGCTGTCATGGGTCAGTTCAACAAAGGACAGAAGGCTTTGCCTGCAGGAATATAAGGCACATGTAAGGGGCCATGATTTAGTATCTGAGCCTTCCCTGCTCTGCTCAGAGCTTGGGATAACAAAGGAAGACATTTACCTTCTCTGATTATGGGGTTGCTACCAGTCTCAAGAATCCTTTGGATTTGAGATACTCAACAGTTTGCCTCTCTGAGAGCTCACTCTCTTTCAGAGATGCCGACGCCCTGAGTGGCACGGAGCAGTGAGGGGGACACCGTGATATCCTGATGATGTTGGCTGAGATGATAATGAGTGGGGCTGGCTTCCACTTGTAACAGGAGATGGTGGCTTGGGGACCATTATTTAGAAAAGAACACTCAGCGTTTGTAGTAACAAGGGAGGAAGTTGTAATAATAACACCGGCTGGGGAGAGCCTGACTCAGAGGAGTGAGCTGATACCACCTCATCCCCCAGAAGCACCCTGTCGGGAGCACCACGCCGTGCTGGCTGCCGTGCTGCGTCAAGTGGCAGTGGCAGCCTGCTTGCAGGCACTCGGAGGCAGACGCAAGGAGCTGGGGAGTCACCTGGAGCCCAGCAACGTGTGAGGTCTGATGAGTCACAGAGCATCTCCCAGGCAGCCTGGCTTTGGCAGGGGATTCTAGGGGACAAAGGAGTGTCCGGTCTGCTCATCTGCCTCGTTCGAATGGCCAGAGAAGCAAGGAAGCAGAGAAACTGGGGCTGACACAAAGGCAGGCCTGGCTGGCCACAGAATCAAATAGGCATGAGACATCTCGGCTAGAAATGAGTGTCCCCAGAGTCCCCATGAAGTGAAATGAATGTGACTGAAGTGGATACACAAACGCTAGACCCTTTTCAGTTCATGCAGTCAGTCATTCAACAACCATGGATTGAGGGTCTGCCCGTGGAATAGATGCCCAAGATGGCACAGCCAAAGATGACACGGTCACAGCTTTCAAGGAACAAACATCCAGGCCAGTAAAGATTAAAGTAAAATAGTAACAGTGCGTGCCCAAAGATATTAAGAGGTTCAACTAAGGTCACTGGCTGGCAGTGCCAGCATGGGCAGCCCTACTCCTGCCTGTGCCTAGTGGGCTGCCCGATGCACCACATTGTACCTCTGATGCGTTAGAAAGATGGGGCCAGCAGAAGTGGCTGTGTGAGGTTGGTGCCCTCCTGGATGCAGCAGCACAAGCTTAGGGCTTGGTGCTGTCCAGGGCTGTGGCAAAGACCCCGGCTGGCCCCTCAAGTCTTCCTTTCCAAGCACACAGCTTGCTCCTGCAGCTGCAGGTGTCTGGGGACTTTATTATGTGTGACCAGAGCTACGCAGTGTGTGCAGGGAAGAATTGGGCCCTGAGGGGATAGAAGTCGCCAATCATTTGAATTACTAATACTGGAAAAGATGTTTCCCATCTGAAGGATGTGCCGATGCTCAGGCTCGACTGAGCTGAGGCAACTGGGGCATTTCACAGCCCAAACGCTGCACAGGCGGGAGAGAACAGGAAGGCCCCTTG